ATAGATAGATAGATAGATAGATAGATAGATCGATAGATAGATTGATAGATAGATAGAAAGCTGAACATATAGATAGATGGATTTATAGCTAGGGGAATAGATGAATGGACAAACAGATAGATAGAGTAAAAGAGAATGAGGGTTTGCCGTGATTGTAAATGCGGTAATGTACGTACCGCGATCTAAGAAAATTTGTAATTTTGTAATAACATGTATAAGACGAGCTAAAAAGGACTTGTTAAAGGGGAGCTATGGGGGGGGGCAAAATAGGCTAAAAAAGAAAAGTAGGCTCTATTAAGTCTGTGGGCGCTACAAGGTTAGTGTAGCACGAATATAGCAATGTACGTAAGTAAGAGGTGGTGGGTATGGGTACATCGCCATTTACGCTCATCAAGCACGAAATATCTCTTCCTTGACTTTCTCGGTATTTCCATCGCGTCTTCCCAAAAGCCTATTACAGATGTCTATTATTGCCTATCCCTCACAATTTTGAAAAAAAGGGGCTCACGCGTATCGATTTGGATCTACTTGAAAATTAGCTCATGTCTTGCGTTCAAGACTACTAGATGCTTCTCTTTCACGCAGTACTAGCAGAGAGCAAACATCGTTTCGCAATAGTTAAGCTGAGGTTCACCAGCCGCGTGACGTTTCTAGACGCGTAGTCCAGCGAAACATCAACAAACTTGATATGCGATGCCCTGCGTACGGCTTCGGTGCTGTTGGCATTAGGCGGAAAGCTCTGAGCCAGACGTCGCGGTGCATGGATTACTGTAAAGTCATAATAACGTTGTCTGGTTATTAGCATAAAATGTTAGCATGCGATGCGAAGAATAGCACGTATATGTGTTGCATTTTGTAGACAAACCGTGAGGTCTACTGGCATAAGTCATTTGAATCGACTTAGACTCGATCAATATAGCGTCCATCAGTATTGCAGTTATACAGATACATCTCCATGCAGGTCGCTATCACGCTTCAGCATACAACGAGAGACCTTACTCGCTTGTGCACTCCTTTCTGTTAGTGCGTTTCTAACTTCTGTGGTTATTTTTCCTTGTTTATTTTTATTTTTTCTGCGCTTCTTAGATCTGGATACCGTGTGTCTTAGCAGGATCATTCGCATTTTTACGTAAAAAATCACTCAATTTATATCAAATCGATCTCGTGTTAGTTTTTGCTGCCTATCCGAACAGTACAGTACAATTCATATTCGTTAATAATGTTATCCATTTTCATAGTTTTGCTGCTGCCCTCGTTATCATGGCGCATCTTGAGCGTGCTTTTGATTTTAGTTGATGTGACAATTAATTTTCTTCGTATTAAAACATAGAGAGTTAATGCGGCATGTGTACTGCTCACTGCTTTTGGCCGTTTATCGTCATCAGAGAGCGAGAGAAGAAGAGAAGGCTATTAGGCACTTTAAAAAGTATGAGCAACGAAGCTAGACGACAGAGTATTTATCATAATCGCGAATAATTATCGTCCATTTTAAAACGTATTAATGGGTTTAGGTCGAATGCTAGAGAGTCGTGCTTGATTGAAAAGCTGCCCGCTAACATGCGTTGCAATTTGCCTGCAAAGTGAGTATTAGGAGTATTGATTGACAGGGATATAATGAAACCACATTACACTAGAAAGTGCATGATTCAAAATTACATACGACAACAACATTGACCTAATATGCCGAGTAGTATTATTGTATCTCAATTATGTCTACATACGCGACGTATGTGTGATTGTCCAACAAGCCTCAGCTAATGATCTACGAACCTTCTGAGGTTCGATATCATTTTGAATTATGTCCCAGATCTGCGTAATTTTGATTGAGCAATCTCTGGCAATTTGTTGGTTGCGAGGAAATTAAGGGCATGGCAACTATGGATGCCGTTTATAGCCGTAGCGTACGCATGTTTCTTTTTTCTGTTTTGGAGGGTTAATTTCTATTCTGATACATATGACGTCTTCATCGCTATCGTCGTCTACAGTTTCTATTTTCCATCTGATTTGTCCTCTTTCTTGTTTTCTTCTTATTCTTTTTTCTCGATTACAAAACAAGGTTGCGTGTGGTAGGACTACATAGGCACACACAAGAGACTTAATAGCATATTTGCTACACAGTAAGTGTCAATAAGTTATACACAACTAATGAACATTAAATGCATGACAAAATCGGATAGCTGCCTTGGTCTCCACGCTAGCTGACTGTTTGAGAAAGCTATATCTAATTGGTGCATATAATAGCCAATGACTATTTAATAGATAGCAACCAGCCCCCCTGGCTGTTACATAAACACGTGAAATTAATACATGGAATAAAGGTAATTTAATTAGAAGTGCATGAATAATGAATTACATATCATCAAATTGTTTCTTAATTTGTTTTCCAATTGGAAATTGTTGTGTTATACATTAGCATAAGTTTTAACTTGAGCAATCGGTTCATTTCTTGAAAGTACAAGTTTAGCTCAGCTGTTGAGGGTAAGATCGCCCCCATTTTTTATATGATTATTGTAAATGAAGAGGTGGGTGATATGGGATAAAATTTGACATTTGACCGTAAACATTAAAAAAAATTTATATTTATGTGCTAATTTATTGACAATAATAATAGGTTACTGCTGGTAAACTGCTCACACAGTACCTTCATTTCTTTGGCTTTTCTTATCACCATCATTCGTTTATGGTTTTCTTCCAGCTCCTGTTCCACTTGCAACTTCTGTTGCTTTTTCTCTTGCTCTCTAGCATGAAACAGCATGTCTGCCTAAAAATAATTAAACATATATTCATCAATACTAAATTCTACACTTAGAACTAGTGCTACAGAGCATCAGGTGCAAATCCGACACGTACAGATAGGATGTTGCTGCTGCTGCCGCTGCTGCTGTTTCTGCTGCTGCTGTTTTATTGAATATGGCTAACCTGCTTACAATTCTGCTACTATAGATAAGATCAATGATACTGCTATTGCTGCAGCTCTCATTGCTATAGCTGTTGTTACAAATAACCACGAATATAATTTAACAGTGACTTTAGTTTCCACAATTCCAGATGTCAGATGACAATGTCAGATAATAGAAAAAGCCACAATGCAATATGAATACTTACTATATAAGCAAAACAATCACATGCCAGAATGGGCAACAATGCTATACCCTTAACTATGTCGCTCGCATGTGCGTGACAAAAGATAATAAAACCATTAAGCAGACAATCTTTAAAATTCAATTAGCTAAAATCATGTAAATATTTAACGGTGTTGTTACTAAAACCTGACGTGTCAGCAAACTGTCGACCACCACTCAATGATATCTGCCTGAGAAGAAGTAGTTGAAGTTTTATACTGTGTAAATGCTATGCTAGCATCATGTCATTAGAGCATGCTTTCAGATCAACTTATGGTAACATGTACAGCACAATAGAATTAACACATTCTTGCAATAATCCTGACTAACCTGCCGTCTCTCCAGAAGACCTTCCTTTGCTCTGACATATTCCTCAGCCAACAGTCTCTCCTTTTCCTTCACTTGACTGATCCGGTTTTCTGTCATCTCCTGTTCCTCTCTTATCCACTTCTCCTGTTTCAGTTTTTCAGCTGAAATGTACTTGCCTTCAAGCTTCTCAACTGCTCTTGCCAAACGCTGTTCCTCATTTCCTGCCTGCAGACGATATACACTCACTCACTAGGCTTAGTTTCCAGCAGCTAGCCAAAATGTAAAGAAAAGCTTTTATACCAAATAACAACAACACGCGATGGCATATATGTGACGGTAAACAAAATTCCTGCCGCGACAAGTTCTATTTTACTAATTGCCATGCTTACAGACAGGATATAGATACTCAGTGCTGACATCTTATGACCAATAATGCTCAGACAATTGCAGAATGTTTCAATCTACATGGAATACAAGGATCGTCAGTATTCATTAATGTCTACTATTGTGCAAACCTCGGGGAACTTCCCAGATAACATGCTGACTTTAACATGCTTTTACTTTGACAGATAACAGGCTTTTTGCTCAGCGTGCCAACGTTGGACCCAACGTTGGCCCACCGTTGGCCCAACGCTGACCTAACAGCAGTCAGCCAACGTTGGCCCAACGTCATATTGCCAACCGTGACCGTGCCAATTAACCAAATGCCAACGTTGGCCCAACGTAAGCATGCTATCTGGGTTACTAGTAAAATTTACTTACCTTCTTCTTCAATTGTTCAGCCAAGAGAACTACCATCTTCTCTCTCTGTTCTTGTCGCCTTTTGTATAACTCAAGCTCCTTTTCCTTTCGCATTTCAGCAATCTTTTGTTTAGCCTCTATGTAAAATTTAACATGAACATGTATTGTAACACAATTTCACTGAAAAATAATTTAGTAGTTACATTGAATTTTGTGAATTCACATAATTATTTTAATAATTATTTAATCATTGTAACGTTTTATATGCAGCAGAGTCTTAAAAACTGTTTTTACAGCGTTTTCACCAAGGGAAAGAGTATGTGCTGTAAAAAAAATAAGCAGGTGACTATTTTTCTTGGAACTTTCACTACATTTCACTACCACTCAATGTATAAATAATTGCAACAAAGTTTTGCAGTGTCCTATAAGTATTTTCAAGCCTGTTTTACCTTGACTAAAATCATTCTTCATCATGACATAAAATCATGACTAAGGGCATTTTCAATAGCAATTTATCAGAAAAAAGTCAGAAAGTTTCACCATTGTAAGGCTTGATTTCAGGTACTAAAGATAAAAGTATCCTAATTATTAAAACACTGTTCTACGATAATTGAAATAATGGCACCTGCTGGCATCTAAAAAGTTTGCACTGTCTGCGTTATTCAACCTACTTGCAAAAATGTGCATTTCCATCTCCTCCTCATCAAGCTGCTGCTTCTCTATCAGCTGTAATTGCTCTTTATCTCGGATGTTTTGTCGATATGCTAGCATCAAGTCCAACTTTTCTTGTTTTTTCTTTTCTGCCTTTCTGTCCACCACTGCCAGATATGTCTTAATCTAAAAATGTATTAACAATGACCAATTACTTCACTGACTATGATACAAGCACATTGAATACACGTCAATGTCAATTCACTCACGGCAACTCGTATAAAATAACATGAATATTAGGTATTAGTGCATGACGTGATAAATCGCTGCAATCTCATTGGATAACGCAGCAGGCACTATGAAGCGATAGTGCCCGCCTGAGCGGGCACTATCGATTGCGCGACGCATTGTTATTATAACGCATTGTGTTTACGTCACGAATCTCCTGCGTCTGGGCGCCACGCAAGAGTAATTTCGAACGGCGGTTGTGTTTGTGTCGAACGTTTTGTTACATCGAATGCACCGGCAAATTAGGGAGTATAAAGAAGGTATATACGCATGAAAAGTAGATTGCATAGTCATGTGATGCACTAAAAACATTAATGCCTGCTGTTGGGGGCACTATGCTCTCATAGTGTTGCTTTGGGAAGGAATAGTGCCCTCGCTACCGCTCGGGCACTATTCCTTCCCTCAGCAACACTATGCATGAGAGCATAGTGCCCCCAACAGCAGGCATTAATATATAAATAACACAAAAATTCAAATTTACTTTGCCGAGTGTTTCTTTCCCTTCTTCCGCAGCTTTTACTCTCTCCAGCTCAAGCTTCTCCTGCTTAATCTGCCTTTGCATAGCTTGAGCTTCAGCAGCCTCCTTCCGAGCCTGTAGTCTCTCCTGCAGTGTTTGCAGGTCCTTCTGTTTTTCTTCCTCAAGACGACGTTTCACCTTGAAGTACAGATTAAGCCAAGATATACATGACAAATCTATATTTTATATGTATCTGAAGATATCTGAAGAGACTCAAGAACATTTTTATTTTCATCCATGATTTCAGAGCTGCCAACATTGGGTGATAGGTGAGAGTGAGATGCGAGGGAGCGAAGCGACCGAGCAGGGGTGGGCGTGGGAGGGGGTTTTCCCCCCTCTCACGGTAGGGAGCTTTTGCAATTTATAACTTCAATTTGTGCAATTTGGTGCATACTAAAGTGACTGTTTTCAGATATTCTAAGATTTTTGTTTGCTGTGCGTGAGATATTTCAGCGCTTTATTCATGAAGGGATATTCATGCGTGAGATATCTCAGCATTTTTTTGCTGTGCGTGAGATATTCTAAGATCAGCGTGAGAGCGTGAGATTTGGTCAACATGCGTGAGTCACACGGTCAATGCGTGAGAGTTGGCAGCCCTGTGATTTGCTATCACGACTCGAGATTGCCAATGTCAATGATATCAACAGTAAGATAATAACCCACTTATCTTACTCTTGATGATATATACACTATACAGTACAAGCTATGTCACAAATAATATTGATGGTTATTATCTTACTCTTGATGATATACATAATACAGTACTCAGTAGGCTACAAGCTATGTCACAAATAATAATAAGAATTCATTATACAGTATACACATGCCTCCTCCAAGTAGACGTTTTCCCTTGCATTGTTCGTGCTCGCCTGTGCCCTTTTTAGCTCTATTTGTTTGTCTCTCTCCTTCAGCACATCTGCTAACAGCAGTGCGCCATGAAACTTCTTCACGCGATCAATTTGAAAGTATTGTTGCATCTTTGCTTTATCAATCGCCACTTTGCGCTTCTCAGCTTGATATTTTGCTTCTTTGATATCAATTTGCCTTCTCTCTTCTTCATCTTTTTGCTCGCGAATTGTGCGAGCTTCCAGTTTCTTCTGCCTAAGTCCGGCGATCGTGTTGGTCCAGTTTTTAACCATGTTTTTTGACATATTCCTTAACGCTTCCCGCTCGCTGCGGTTAATTTCCGACAGGTCAGCATCCCTGGTTGGCTTGCTCAAACTTTCTTGGATTCGTTGCCAGTCAGCTACAGGAAAAGTATATGACTGCGATAACCTTTGATTTGCAGTTGCACCGCCACCGGTCATGGACGGAGATTGTAGAGCAACGCCACGAATGTGTTCAGGTTTCATACTAGTACTACTAGTACTTGCTATTGCTGACGCCATTGTGCACAGCCAAGCGAACACCGTCTATTTTACTGTAATATCACATATCTTCTAACACCAACCCGTCTTCTCCGTTACCCACAACAAGAGAATCCTGTTTCATGCGACCACGGCAACCGCGTAGTGACGGTAAACATTCAGTGAGTGGTACGATTACTACGCCATCTGCAGTTTTATTTATTTATTAAATATAAGCATTCCGTTATATTATATTAATAATTAATGTGTCTATTAATTAATAACGTACTTAGTCGTGATAAATAATGTTGAGGTATAGTTGTCTGGGGAACACATATGACGCAAATCACTCGTTATTATATTAATGGTTAACAGAATTGCATCCTTCCATGTAGAAATGCCCAACTACTGTTTTCCTGCAATATGCTATATATTATTATACGCGTTGCTGCATCTACACACGGACACGCACGCACACACACGCGCGCGCGCGCACGCACGCACGCACGCACGCACGCACACACATCCATCCATCCATCCATCCATCCATCCATCCATCCATCCATCCATCCATCCATCCATCCATCCATTCATTCATTCATTCATCCAGTCATCCATTTATGCACTAAAGAAGCTACGCTGACGCTTAACAACGTGATGTGCGATGTACTGAGTACGAGTCTCTGTACTTCGTACAGTATTGCGTGGTCAGCGATCGCGAGTGCGAGTGTACTGTATTTCGTAACTCTTCTGCGAACCGTTGTCGCCTGTCACGTCTAAATCGAGAGAACCGCTGAAGTACTGTAGTGGGCTGGGGTTAATCATCTGCATTCGAACGGTGCTTGACGGCGCAGAGGGGCGACATGGGCTTGGCAGCCGTGTACGCGACGCACCCCTCCGTTTACGGTCCACTGGCCGACCAAAGGACTAACATGCAGATGGGAGAGAGTATGACCGACATATGTCAAGTCAATTACAAATACACATGGCGCTAGATCGCTACTACAGCCACCATCGCAAGCGTATATCATACAGTATATATACACAGTAATGATAAGGGTATCATGTAGTATAAGCGCGCGCCAACACAGCACACGACACTCATCGCGTATAATAGCTCTCTCGTCTCTATAATTATATATTCCTAACTATATCAGTATATACCAACAGTAGTATTGCCGGTGCGTGCATGAGTGTGTGTTGTGTGTGTGTTGCGTGCGGTGGGCTGCCGGTGTCTTTGTGTGGTGTGTGTGTGTGTGTGTGTACGACTGTGTGTGTAGTGCTGGCGACTGATTGTCGGTAGTGACATGGTGTGTGTGCGCGCGCACGCCGCGTGCGTGTTTATCTCGTGTGGTGTGCTGTGGTGTGTGGTTGTGTTGTGTGTGTGTGTGTGTGTGTGGTGCGCGCGGCGCGCGCGGCCGGTACGACACTGTTCAGCATGGCGCTTCGGTCGCGCTAATCCGCGAAAAGTCTCCTTGTGGTGCTCTATGGTTAGCTCCTACCATCAACAGCGCATATAACCGCTCTTCGCTTTTTGTTAATGCGAGAATAATAGGCTCGTCATATAATGTAAGAAACAACATCAAAAGGACGAATTCACGATGGAAGAACGTAGAGAATCGCGCGTAGACGACGATGAGGCGTGATGAAGAGCTCATATTGTATCCAGAATAGAAGGAGTTATACCCCTTCCAAAACGAAAAAAGAGAGCATCGCGTACGCTTCCGTTATCGGCTATAACAACGGCCATCTATATGTTCGACCATGTCGTCCTAATTCCCTCCGCAACCAATCAAATTGGCGCGTAGAGATTGATCAGTCAAAATTACGGTCACATCTGGGACCATCTACGCCTTCAAGTAAGATGTATTAGTCGAACCTCAGAACGGAATTCGTAGATCATCTAGCTTGAGTGCTTGTTGGACAATCAACATGCATGACCGTCTTCTGATCCTCGGGCCCGGGCGGTCACGCGTATGGTAGACATAATGTGAGGGATAACAATAAGTAGCTACTGCGGGGCAATATGGTAGGGTCAATGTGTTGTTGTCGTTGTTAATTTGAATCATGCAACTTTCTATAGTGGTAGGATGTGGGTTTTCATTATATGCCTTGTCATGCAAGTACTCCTAATACTCACGTTTGGGCAGGCCAAATTGCAGGCATGGACCGCGATGTTACGGTAACCTTTATTCAATCAAGCGCACGATCTCTAGCATGTGTCGCCTAAACCGATTAATACGCGTTTAAAATGGAACGATCTTATTCGCGATTATGATAAATACTGTCTGTCGTCGTAGCGCTTCGTTGTGCCTGCATACTGTTTGTAAAGTGCCGTAATAGCCTTCGTTCAGTTCTTCTCTTCGGGTCTTCTCGCGTGATGAGGATAAACGGCCAAAAGCAGTGACAGTACACATGCCGCATTAACGTCTCCTACTAATGTTTTAAATACGAAGGAAGAATTATTGGTCACGGTCAACTAAAATCAAAACATGGTGGGGGCCGGGGTGTCCGGTCCTCAGTGATGCGCCCGCATGATAACGAGGTGCAGCAGCAAAACTATGCGAAATGGATAACATTATTAACGAAGAGTATGGAAGTTGTACTGTACTGTTCGGGATGGAGGCAGTCGAAAAACTAACACGAGATCGATTTGGATATAAATTTGAGTGATTGTTTACGTAAAAGATCCGAATGATCCGCTTGCTAAGACACAACGGTATCGCAGATCTAAGGAAGGGCAGAAAAATCAAAATAGAGAGCAAGGAAATTAATAACGCACAGGAGAGTGTAGAAACGCACTAACAGGAAAGGAGTGGCAACGAAGCCGAGTATAGGTCTCTCGTTGTATGTCTGAAGCGTGATAGCGACGCTACATGGAGATGTATGCTGTATAATCTGCAATACTGAGGACCCTATAGTTGATCGGAGTCTGAAGGTCGATTCAAATGACTTTATGGCAGTAGACCTCTGTACGGTTTGGCTACAAAATGCGCAACACATAATAGCGTGCTATCTTCGGCATCGCATGCTAACATTTTATTGCTAATACCAGACACGTTATTATGACGTTTACAGTAATCCATGGCACCGCGACGGTTGGCTCAAGAGCTTTCCGCTGCTAGTGCAACTGAGCACCGAAGCGCGTACCTAGGGCATCGCATAATGCAAGTTTGGTTGAGCTGGTTTCGCGTGACTTGACGCCGGTCTAGAAAACGTCACTGTCGGTGGCTGGTGACCGTCAGCGTTACTCTTGCGAGAACGGTGGATGTTTAGCTTCTGGCCTAGTACTGGCGTGAAAGAGAAGCGCATCTAGAGTCCTGTGAACGGCAAGAACTATGCGCTAAGTTGTTCAAGTGAGATCCGCCAGGAGATCGGATACGCGTGAGCCCCCGTTTGTGTTTCAAAATTGTGAGGATGAGTGCAATAATAGACATCTGTAATAGCTTTTTGGAAGACCGTGGAAGATACCGGTCCGAGAAAGTCAAGGAAAGATATTCGGTCTTGATGAGGCGGTAATGGCGCATGTACCCATATGCGCGGGCCCACCACTCTACTTACGTACAGTGCTATTTGCCGTGCTACACTGAACCTTCGTAGCGCCCACGAAGGACTGTAATAGAGGCCTTATTTTCTTTTGTTAGGGCGCGTATTTTTGCCCGCCCCCTGCCGCCCGGGACGATAGGCTCCGCGTTTAACAACCCGTCCTTTTTTAGCCCTCGTCTATACATGGTTATTACAAATACAAATTTGCGGTTAGATTCGGGTACGTTACATGTTACTCGGCATGTTAACAGTCACGGCGAAGCCCTCATTCTCTTCTTTAACTCATTATCATGTTTGTCAGGTTCATTATTCCCACTAGCTATAAAGTCCAATCTATTACTATATGTTCAGGCCTTTCTATGCTTTATCTATCAATCTATCTATCGATCTATCTATCTATCTATCTATGGTCTTTCTACGTATCTATTATCTCATCTATCTATCTATCAATTGTATATATCTGATCTATCAATCATGTCAACATCCATCCATCACGGCCACACCATACTATCCATCCATCACCATGGCCAAACAAGCCTAGTGCCCATAGCCCCATCCACCCACGCCATCCATCCATCATCATCGCATCCATCCATCCATCCATCCATCGCCTCCATCCATGGCCATCATTCCATCCGATTACGCCATCCCCATCCATCCATCGCATCATACCACCACATCCATCCAGGCCATCCATGCCATCATCCATCATCGCCATCCATCCATCCATCCATCCATGCCATACCATCCATCCATCCATCGTCCCAGGCCCCATCGATCCCATCGCCATACCAGTTCGCCATCATCCATCGCATGCCATCCATCCATCCATCCATCCATCCCATGGCCATGCCATCATCCTCCACCACCACGAGTACATCCATCGCATCCATCCATCCATCCATTCCATCCATCCATCCGCCATCCTCCATGCCATCCATCCATCCATCCATGGCCATCCATCATACCATCCAGTCATACATCCATCCATTCCATCCCATTGTCTTTTTCCTATTCCTCAGTACCATCCATCCATTCCGCATCCCTGCCATCGCATCCTCGCAATCCAGTCCATCCATGCCATCCACTAGGCCACCATGTCCATCCAGTCCCATCCATGCCATCCCATTCCCATCGCCCCCATCCCCATCCATGTGGCCATCCATCCATCCATCCCCATGGTCCATATGGCCATGCATCCATGCCATCCATCCATCGCTCATACCATCCATCCATCCATCGCATCCACTCCATCCATCCATCCATCCATCCATCCATCATCCATCCATGCCATCGCGGCCCATCCAATCCATGCGCATCCATCCCATCATCCATCGCATCCATGCATCCATCCATGGCCATCCATCCCAATCCATCCATCATCCATCCATCCATCCATCCATCATGCCATCCTCCATCCATCATCATCCCCATCCATCCTCCATCCCATCCAGAGCCATCCATTTCGGCCATCCATCGCCATCGCATCCAGTGCCATCCCATCCATCCCATCCATCCATCCATCACGCGCCGCGCGTGTGTGTGTATGTGTGTGTGTGTGGTGTGTGTGTGTGTGTGTGTGTGTTGTGTGTGTGTGTG